CCTTAAACTACTCAGATTGACACCAAATTTTACATTCAAGTCTTAAATAATATTTTGGACCTGTACCGGGCTTCGGAACCAATATACAAGCCCGATACCTATGAAATCGATCATTAATTAATTTTCTTTAAATCCTTAAAACTTCAGATTAACCATTTCTAATAAAAATTCATGACTCGGGCTAGGAACCTCGGAATTCCATTTCGGGCGTATGCCTGGGTCCTATATTTTCTTACGGACCCTCCGGAATTGTCAAATCACGAATCCGGATCCGTTTGCTCAAAATATTGACCAAAGTCAAACTTAGTCTTTTAAGAAAATCCTAAGGAATCAACTGGGCATATTTCACTCAAAACTCTTCCAAATCTCGAACCAACTGTCCCCGCAAGTCGTAAATTAGCTAAAGCAAGCACGGCAAATTTTATTTAAGGGAACAGGGTTCTAAATGGCGAAACGACCAGGTGGGTCGTCACACAAGTAAATGTAATAAAAAGTAATAGCTAAATGTGAACTTGGACTGTAAAATAAACCTCAAATGTAAGACATTTATTTACAAGGTAATGTGAATTCTAAAGTCACAAACATGAAGACACAAATACTAAAAAAGTAAAATACCTGCCATATAAATAAATTCTCCCAAATATTTAAGTTGCAAAAACAAAAGAATCAAGTGCTTAGGGAAAGAAAGAACGAAATATTTTACTTTGCAATCACATAAATCAAGCATTCAAGCTACATCAGATATAGTTTAAGCTTAGGAGGTTAATATGAAACTGTGAACAATAACAAATATCTAGCTTAGACAAAAAAAGGATATCCACATACAATGGGCAATAACAGAGAGTTGAACTGCACTTAAAATTTCTGCAATGTTTGGAAAATTGCGAAGTTTGGGAAGAATTGGTCTTTTGAACCGGTTAGCGTCCAAGTCGAAAATCTTTTATTTTCATAACAAGCCAATCTCCTTTTTATGACATTGTAGCTTTTTGTATTATACTAAAACTAATTCAAATAACTAAAAAGCCAGTTTTATTTTGAACAAAATGTTCCCTTAACATATCATCTGGGCAACAAATTCTGTTAATCTCAAGGAAAGAACTAAATCATTCGCCCAGTTATTAGCTATTGTATTACATCAAGAATACATTAAGGTTAATCGTTTTTAATAAAAGGAAGCACTGTTTCCCTAAGAAAAACTTTGGCACTATGAAAATATAAGATGGAAGTTACACCTTCAATCTGGTTAAGGTAATGCACGAAGTCACAACCTAATTGCTAAGATGTTCTTTTTTAGACATTGCATTTTCTAGAATCCTAATAAAGCCACTATCCTGAGTTTTAGCCTGAAGCTTTCGTTTCTATGTGTGCTTGATTTAACAAGAACCATATTACAAGGGTGCGAGCGCTTCACCCTCTTACCACTCAGCAATACTACAATATGGAAATATAATCTCAAACTAAAATGCTGCAAATGCTAAGATGTTCTTTTCACACATTGCATCTTCCAGAATCCTAATAAAGCCACTATCCTGAGTTTTAGCCTGAAGCTTTCATTTCTATGTGTGCAGATTTAACAAGAACCATATTACAAGGGTGCGAGTGCTTCATCCTCTTACCACTCAGCAATACTACAATATGGAAATATAATTTCAAACTAAAATGCTGCAAATGGTTAAAAAATTAAAGTTTTGAATTAATATCATATATATTGATTTAAAATTAGATAATATATATGCTTTGCTAGACGATGCAGAAAAGACAAAACAACATCATAGTTGAATCACATGCAATATTTTTTTGCCACAAAAAGAGAAAACCAGCAGCTACAGCCGAAAAAGGAGAGGTGGTTGAAGAGGAGGAGGAGGTGAAGGAAGATAAGGAACAACAAAAGAAACGAAGGAAAGAAATAGGAGGAGGTATATCCCTACTGCTTATCCATAATGATAAATTCTTGAATTCTTCTTCCATTTGCAGCATATGTTGAAGGGCCGCCATTAATCACAATAGCAAGGACATCTGGCGTTAAACCAAAAAAAGAAACAGCAAATAAGTTAATATATTATGAAAATCATTGTGTCATAATATTAAAAAGATTTTTGAGAAGGTATAATAAATGGATTGTATATGCACAAATATAGATAATTAAATCTTTAAATGCCAAATTCAGATTCTTTTGGTTGATACTCGAAAGTGTCAAACGCTGTGATAGTTAGCCGCGTTGGCGGAGGTAATGGATCCTCGGGAGGAGTGACCTTTTCAATTGGCTCAACAATGGTGCTTCTATCAATTGTCCAAGTGAATTTGTTAAGTGGATTTCCATATAAGTAAGATGACTCCTTCACCTGTGCAACTGACACCAAGTAAGTATGGAAAGGATCAAATAGAACTTCAAAATGCGTTATATCAGCGTTGAACATGATGGCCTGAACTTGATTTTCCTGTATGAAAATAAGATACAATTAGATTTTAATCATATTCAAATAAATTGGGAAAAATTATACCAGCAAAATATATCAAATTTTTAATATGAGCAATCTCTAGTATATGAGCAAAAAATGAATTAATTCCATTATTGTTGGAAAATTTGTGAATTTAAAAAAGAATACATCTTCATCCTGCAGAGTCATGAGTTGATTTTTTTTGCTTTTCTCTTTGTTGTCTTTGGGACGACCTTTATCAATTACTTGGATCTTACAGGTCCATTCTTCTGTATTGGGAGTGATCATGTTGATAGTTAACCTTTCACCCATAGTAGAATTAACCTGCAACTACAACATATTGATATTAGTATAACAGTATACATTAACAATAAAAATAGACGTAGTTTAATATAAATGAAAGAATATAGAAAAAATCAAGTTATAATTAGATTTACCATAAGAAATTATAGCTTATGGTCAGGAAAAAGCTTTTTTAATAATTTCATCATAGACTATATTATATGTAGAGTGATCATCATCATCGTTAACTGTAGGTGGTCTAATTAATACTTTCACACAATTAGAACTTTTGGCTCTTGATAAAGCAACATACAATTGACCATGAGAAAAGACAGATTCTCGCAAATAGATACTCACAAAATCTAATGTTTAACCATGAGCTTTGTTTATTGTCACGGCGAAACATAATCGAACTGGAAATTCTGTTCTTTTAAAAGGGAGAGGTAATTTTTCATCTTCTGATGTCATGAGTGGTATTCGCGAAATAAATACATGTCTATTTTCAAAATCGCCGCTAGATATTGTTGCACTAATGACATGAGTTTTAAAATCATTACATATTAATCGTGTTCCATTGCATAAACCTTCACTGGGATTCAGATTTCTTAATAACATAATCGGGCAATTTTTTTTCAAAGATAATTTATAAGGAGGCAAACCGGCAGGATTTAAAGTGTGCAAAAAATCTTCATACTCAATTGATCTTTTGGATCAATTGTCTCATCAGTAGCAATGTAAACTTTTTCGGTGGTTGGAAATTGAGCAAGAAGCATGTCATTTATTTCATCAACGAAATCATTTTTGGTTGTTAGAATAGCAGAAATAATAAAAGAAGCATTTGAATGATATTTGTATAAATCGGAAGTAAAAGGAATAATGAGAGAATGAGGAATTTCAATTTTTCCATAGGCATTTTGTCTTTCTTTTCCATCACCAATTCTCATTAAATATTCATAAAAAGCAAGATCTATTTTCGCACGCATATTTTCTGATAGTTGTAATTTTTTAAGTTGATTTTAAATTTCAGAGCACAATAAACTTTCACGAACTTCCTTTTTTCCACTACGAACTACAGGACGAGTTTGTCTAAAATCACCATTGAAGACAACTACCTTTCCACCAAATATTATATTAGTTTCCATTAGATCTCTTAAAAGCAAATCGAATGCTTCTACTGTTTCCTTTTTTGCCAATGAAATTTTATCCCATACAATAAGTTTTGCATCTCGTATTAAAGATGCTAAGGAACTTTGCTTACTAATATTGCAGCTGAAATTCTCATTAACATCAACGGGAATTTTAAAGCAGGAATGAGCAGTTCGACCCCCAGGAAGAAGTGAAGCTGCAACACCAGAACTTGCAGATGCTAAAGCTATAAATCCTCTGTGCCTCACAGTAGCTAATAAAGCACGATATATAAAGCTTTTACCAGTTTCACCGGAGCCGTCAATAAAGAATGCCCCTGGTCTATTTAAAAATATTCTGTCAAGAATCATATTGTAAGCTCTTCTTTGATCAATGTTTAATTTGTTTTCTAACATTAAATCTTCTTTGCTAACAATGATGTTTTTTTCGAAATGAACATCTTTAGCTTCTTTTGCTACTGCAGATGGCTTAATTATTTCTGAAAATATTTCAAATTCATTAATATCACGACCCATTGAATGGAGAATATTGTTAATATGGTTTAACACTTTGTAACGGATTTCTCTTGTATCTATATTCGAATTTTTTTTGAAATATTCAGACATTGGGTTATCAAATTTTTCTCATAGTTCTCTTGGATTAGTTGGATTACAATATATTAATAACATAGCAAATAATTGTCTTAAACTGGATGTCATTTGATAACTTACAGCTTCAGACATACATTCTACCAAATTATTATCACAAAGTAATAATCCTCTTTTTTCTGCAGCTTCTCTAAATGTTTTACATTGTACTCCATTTACAGTTCGCAAATCATCATATGATTTTGGTCCTCTCACATTCATTAGAAGCGGTCTAAGATAGTATCTTTCCCCTTCAGTTGGATGACATGTCACCACACGACCGATAGCACTTCCTCGTTGACGACGTATCCATATTTTATACGTTGTTGACCATACAAAGTATTTTAAAAATTCTCGATATAATAAATTTAAGTCCATAGCATCTTTGTTTTCTCGATTCGTTTAAAAAACTCAGTTAACATTATTTTTTTAACCATAGGATTGTTCATAATTTACTAATATTTTCTGTATTCTTGAAGGAAACAAGTTGTTGTCCATCAAGATGTAGCTAAAGATGATATACATTTGGAAACATTTCACTAATAGGGAAAGCAAATATATGCCATGCAGCCTCAGGTGGTGACACCCACCTAGCAAATTGGTATTCCTTTATTTCATCTATCTCTATGTTTGTATCATTAGCATGTATATGAAATGCAATTTTATCATATCCTTTGCAAATATACTTACAAATGTACTTAACAACTTTAATATCAGAGCAAATCTCTATATTCATATGACAGTTGAACTTACAAATTAAATATGGATTATAAGGAACAACCCATGAATTATCAAGAAGGTGTTCTATTATTTGCACTTTCTTTCCTGTGTTTCGTCTTTGATAAATTGGATACGAATTTTTTCCTTTAGTTGTTTGTTCTGCAAACTCCCTTGGATACTTATATTTACAATGACCTTTTTTTGTCATGCAAGAATTTGTTGGATTTAATTCTCCGCATGGACAGTGCATCATATGATCTATAACATGTGAATATAATGTAGGATTTTCTTTTTTATTCGATAATTCAGCACATACAAATCGATCATATGCTTCAGGAGTTAGTAATTTATATTTTTCATCAAGTATTATAAGAAAATGAGCATATGGAAGTCCCCGCTTTTGGAATTCCACTGTATACATAAATGCTACGACTTTACCAAATATTTGTGTTTTGAGAATATCCTTTTTCAACTCTTCTAGTTTTGCTCGAAATACTCGACTAATTAAATCGGTTCTATTTTGTGTTTCATCTATCGTCAGAAGGTTTTCTTTTATTTCAGGCCAAGAAGGATTACACGTCATAGTCAAGAATATATCTGGTTTTCCAAACTGTTGCACTAATGCAATAGCATCCATATACCTTCGACGCATATCTCTTGGTCCTCCTGTAAAGCTAAGTGGGAGTGTTTTTTGTTTTCCAACCTGTGAAGCTTTTCTTTTCCCACATCGTAGAATATTTAAGAGCCCACCTAATACATGAACTCTGAATAAATCCTGATTAAAAGTAGCAAAGTTTAATCTTTGGCTTTCAATTTTAATCCATTCATCCACAACATATTGTTGGAATAATCTTCCAGCATGTAAAAGTATATTTTCATCATCTCTTATTTGAAGTTTATAACAATAATATTCACGACAAGAAACATTGTCTCTTTTTCGTTTTCCTTTTTGCATGACCTCAGCTTCCATATCGAGTAATCCATCAATTGAACACATATTCATTATGCTCGGTAATTGTTCATGTTCACAGTATATTCGCATTGTTGATTTACCAGTAGAATGCTTAATTTTCTTAATACCACAATGCCATCCATTTTCACCGTAAGGAAATAATAATGAATATTGTAATGGATCATAACAACCATAATAATAATTAACCAGCTGACTTCTATCACTTTTCGTATATATACGGATATGTGGTACGGCTTGGAGAACATCTTTCCTTATAAGTTGAAGTATTTGAGGTGGGCGATGTTCCAGTTGTTTGGTAGTAGTTTTTCTTCCATCATTTCTAGTTTGAACGACCCTTTGCTTGCTACCACCGTAAATTTTGTACGGGCCATCCCAGTTAATCCCTAGCTTTCCTTCTCGTTGATCTTTGCTTTCCTGTGTTTTCCTTTGAGTACGTAGTCTCTGACTTTGAGCGGTCTAATCTTGGCTTTTTTGTTGTAGCATCGCTCTGCTTGTTGTTTTTGGGCGACCATCCTTATGCATGCCATGTCTCTTCGTTCTTCAGCCTCGTCGAGGTCTTGCCTCCTGCTTTCGTCGTTTCTCGGCCCGCTTTCGTGTGAGTACCTTAGACTTGGTTCTCTGACCTAGACCGGTATTACTGCATCGGTTCCATAGACCAGTGAGTACGGTGTTTCTCCTGTGCTTGTTTTTGGCATTGTGCGGTATGCCCATAGCACTTTCGGTAGCAACTCCGGCCACAATCCCTTGGCGTTCTCGAGCTTCTTCTTTATGATATTCAATATTGACTTGTTGGAGGACTCCACTTGTCCATTGCTCGCGGGATGATATGGCGTGGAGAGTATTCTTTCGATATGCCATTTCTCGAAGAAATCGGCGATCTTTTTTCTAGTGAACTGAGGCCCGTTGTCACAACTGATTTCTTTGGGGAGGCCGAAACGACACAAGATATTCCTCCATATGAAGGTGATCACTTCTTGCTTGCGTATTTGGGCGAATGCACCTTCTTCCACCCACTTGGAAAAATCGTACATTACCTCGTCCCGCTAGTAGGGGTCTAACGATGTCCATCCCCCACTTGATGAAACGCCAAGGTGAGGTAACTGAGTGGAGGTGCTCACCCGCTTGGTGGATCATGGGGCATATCTTTTGCATTGTTCGTATTTTTTTACGAAGATAGCAGCCTCGCTTTTCATTGTGGGCAAGTAGTAGCCTGCTCGTATGAGGCATCTAACTAGAGCTCGATTGCCGGTATGAGCTTCACAGTGACCTTCGTGGACTTCCTCCAGAATGAGCCGCGTCTGGTTTGGGCCTAAGCATTTTGTTAGGGGGACGCCAGCATTCAAAGCTTCTTGGATTCTTCATTATCGTCTGGAAGCACTCCGTCCTGCAAATATGTGACAATACGATTATGCCAGTCCCAAGTTAGGTTTATAGTTCGTACCTCGATTTGATCGATTGACGAGTGGAGGAGAGTGACCGCGTTCCCTTCGCTGGTTACGCTTTTAGCAGTCGCTGCCAGTTTGGCAAGGCCGTCTGCTTCGATATTCTGTGCTCGAGGGATTTGGTCGAGCAGGCATTCGTCCTGGTATTTTTGCAGTCTTTGTTCCTTGATTCGGAAAGTCCCTGCGACTTGGTTGACGACGAGCTGAGAGTCGCACTGTAGGACGACTCACTTCGCTCCGTACCTGAGTACTAACTTTAGCCCTGCAATCGTAGCCTCGTACAGACTTTGTTATTAATCATATTTGGGCATCTTATGGACTGGCGAATTACTTTGCCTGTTGGGACCTCGAGCATGAGTCCCAGTCTCGATCCCGATACGTTAGAGGTGCCATCGATATACAAAACCCATAGGTCGTGTATTTTGGGGGTAAGTACGAACTGCTTCCTTTTCGACTTCAGGCATTATTTTATTGTTGAAGACGGCGATGAAGTCGGCGAGCACTTGCGACTTTATCATCGTTCGCGACTGATAGGTTATATCGTGCTCGCTCAATTCTATGGACCATTTGGCCAATCTACCCAACAGCTCGGGTTTATGCAGAATACTCCTCAGGGGAAAGGTCGTGACTACCGAGATGGGGTAGCACTAAAAATAGGGTTTAAGCTTTTGTGAAGCTACGACCAAAGCCACGGCCAGCTTCTCGAGGTGTGGATACCTCATCTCGGCATCAACTATGTTTACCGTGAAAATGGTAACAACAATTAAATTTGTAAATGGGATTCTAAAAATACGTGATCTATTCCCGAGCTAGTTTGTAAGGGTGATTAGTGATAAAATATGAAGTAAGACAATAAAGATCGAGTTAGCCAAAGCGATTATCGAACCAGTAAGGGGACGTTCCCGGGCGTAGAGCAAGCTAGTAGATACCTCGGGTCCAGACCTCAAGCCTATCTCGGGCTTATCGAGGGTAGTCGGGAAGGGGGTAAGAGATAAAGTTATAAATAAATAAGGCTCTTATACTATCAATTTCGAGCTAAATGATGGAGAACAAACGAAGAAACTATAAAATGCTAAGGTGACCTCGGGGTCGATGAACACTGATAACTTAGAAGAAAGAAAGCGAAAGAGAGATATTATTGCACTATGGAGAAGTGGAGCAACATCAGCCCCTCACAAGGTGGGGTGAGTCCCCCTTATATAGGCGAGGGGACTCGGTAAAGTACGTATATATTATTTAAAAGAGTAGGAAAATGGGACGGCCTGACGCAAGTCCTCTTAGTAGGCTATAGATAGACCGGCCCTGTCAGGTTTATCCATGTGCTTAAGAGACCTTTTCTCTTATCCTGACCTCGGGCCCTGCTTCCTTCGATTCGGACCTCGATGAGCCTTGAGGCCGAGAACTCGATCGTAGCCTTCCACCCTCGGGGTCTTGGGGAAGGCTTCAAAAATTGTCTTGATAGCAAAAATCAAGTCTTCTGATTTTACCGCGTACAGATAGTCTCCGCGTTTCTCATGACGAAGTGATGGGAAATGATTCTGACACTCAACTCCTCGAGCTCCTTTTGGCGATGCTATAATGGCGACTCAGATTATGGCACAATCTCCGTGATAGATGGCGTGCCTCATAGATCTCTGCTCGATGTCCAGTCATTTTCTCGAAGCAAAAGTACTGTCGTCGGTTCATTTTTTCAAGGAGGTAGTAATTCCACCCGTCACTCAACCTTTTAGAGCATTGATGACCGTGCCATTTTCCTCCTATAAAGGAGGGCGCTTTGTGGCATTGCATCCTTCATCTCAATATTTCTTGCTGGTGTGCTTTGCTTCTTTATTCTCATCTTCTTTTACCTTTGATTACCACGATGGAAGCTTTCTATCCCAAGGCTGTTTGGAGGAATTCTTCCAGGCCGCGTCGAGGCCTTCTGCCGGGGCCTCTTTTTGTTGATCATAAGCATGCGGTCCCGATACTGCCGCGATCATCGCTATGTAACTCGCTGCTGCTACCATCGGCCCGAGATGGCGATGGGCGGAGAGTTGGTTTCACCTTTGCGTAGATGGTTATTCTGATTATGCACCGCTGCTCACTCTTCTACCTGGGCCTGGTGTGGCACTTCATCCCTTGGGCTCTTTCTTTCCCAAGGGGTAAAGTGGCACCGCCGGCTGTTGAGACGGGGGCCCGCCGAATCTTCAAGCTTTGGCCTTGGCGGGCCATGTCTCTTTTCCCTGCCTCCTCCGCGTCCCCTTCTATTCCTTTCATGCGTCTTCCCCGACGCAGATCCCTCAGGGGATTGAGCTGGGAACCTATGGGAGATCGAAGGAATCACCCTCGAGGATACTTGCTCGAGGGTGTGGCGACTGGGTATGCTGATACCGGAGATGAACTCTCGAGGGCAGATCGGGCGCCCGGGTTTCATCACATGTACATCCTCCCGTTCCTCAGCTTTAGGCGTAGATTTTTGTAAGTCTTTGTACTTTGTTTGTAACGACCCTCCGGGGCTTTGTAATCGAACGCTATGACCCCTCGGGGGCTTTTATACTTGAAGACTTCATAAATGAGAAATGAACTTTGCTGACCTCTGCTTCCGAACTTACTTTGTTTCTGTATGCTTTCATGCCTTTCGAGGCCCTTCGAATGTATCTTTTTGTGTTGCTGATCGCTGATTTTTAATTTGGGCGTGAGTGTTTGCTTTGATTTCTTGCCGATCGACATGGGATTTTTCCGTCCCATTGTCGTCGTTCGGGACAACTTTGGGTCGATCTGATGGATTGGTGCTTGTAAGAGTCTCCCAAGTTATTCGGAGATCGCGCGTTGAGTTCCGGGGCCTCCGGGGCCACTGCTCCGGATGTAGGTCGTCTTCGGGTACCCCGGAACCCTTATTGATTTGGACGTAGATGGTCCTTTTGGACCGCATGAGATAGATTTCTGCTTCTCCTTTGGCACTTATTTTCTTTCACGCCCTTCGGGATTTTTAAATGCCTTCGATTGCTTATGGGCCGTCATAGCTCGCTGTGGTAGCTCGTTCTGGTCTCCAGCTGATTGGCAAGGCTCTCCCCCGCTTTCTTTTTTATTGTACTTTGGCTTGATGAGGGACCGACCGGGTAAGATTGAGCTGTCGGGGCCTGCTGGTTTGTTTGGAGATCTCGCATCAAATTTCGGGACCTTCGGGAACAATACCCCGAACGAAGGTCATACTCGGATGCCTCGGCGGGTCCTATTGATCTTGATGTGGAATGATTCTTTCAGAGAGTGTAAGGTCGGCTTCCATTTGAGGAGCTTGCCTACGTTCAGGGTGCTTCTTTGGGTCCTCGTGTAATTTCTTGGAGATCGGAGCTTCCGGGGTTCGTTCCTCCGGGGTGGGGAATGCAAGCCCGGACGTGTGCCTCGCGTCCGGCATCGGCACTATGGAGCTCATCGTGATCCTGATTCCTCGCGGCCGGAGGTTCCAAATGTGAAATGCTGTCTGGAGTATGGAGATAATTCGCGTGGATTCTCGAGCTTAGTCGTCTGTTGGAGGATGTTCCTTGGGTCGGGTATCGACCCGTCCATCCGCATCGAGGCCATTGGCTTCCTGGAGCTTACATCTGGTAGGTGACTTCGCCGTTGCCTTTTGTATATAAGAGGGATGGC